CAAGAGTCAAGCACTATTGAAGGTCTACAAGATAATGCTGCATGTTGAGACTCATTATCTCTATGCCAGAAGTTGGCATCCCACTTCTTCACTAAAACAATTTGAGTAAAACAATTACTTGTCACTTGATTTTTACATCATACACTCATGGATTTCCTTTGGAATTTTCCTTTGCAGGAACAGGAAATGTATGATGGTTTTGAATTCAACTCTTAAAAGTTTCAGAATTTCTATCAGTCAATGATGTTAACCAAATTCAGAAATAAGTGCCAGTATCCTGTAAATTGGCCCTTTGCAGTATAAAAGAATATTCTTTTGATTTATAGTGACAAAACAATACTCAGAATTTGAGTAGTTTGGGATGAGAACTTTTCAGCACCCCTTCATACACACAATATATATATATATATATATATATATATATATATATATATATATATGTATATATGTGGGAAACCACTATACAACATTTTATATATCAAGAAAAATTTTAGGGAAAACTTATCATCATGGAGGATATTTAATAACAAACCAACTGGAATTTGAACTCAGCCCTACTATGAGAATTTCTCATTCCAGGTCACTATCCATTACACCAACCACACATCCATGACCAAAGGAATAGCTAGCTATCACAGTGCTATATAAAACCTACAACTTTATTGACTTTTTGCTTAATAATTATAATTATTTTTTAAAAAAATATGATTCCATCATGACACAGAAATTACTAGATTTCAAAATTGAAACTCAAGTCCTAAAGTTTAATTTCAATATTAAACTTAAAATTTAGAGTACAGTTTCATTTTCAAGTGACGTTTAGAATAACTAACCGAAGAAATGTTTTACTCATTTATAGGTTGGAAGTGGAGATGTAATCTGGGATTTCCCTTTTCATTATCAATTTAAGCTCTACTTCTTATCAAGGACTGTTTTTTTTAAAATAAAACATAAAGAACTTTGGATCATTAATCTAACTGTTCTTTTTTGTTACATAAATTAATACACACATATATTTATTTTAATATATATATTTTTCCACATATTCTCTCTCTCTCACACACACACACACACATATATATATATATGTGATTGTCACTTCTTTGCAGAAGAAGACCTTTTCTTCACTTGGGAGATTTTTTGTTTTTCATTCAGAATTTTATTATTTCTGTCATTATTACCCAAGCAAACATTCTGCTATGAGCCTGTAAGTGATTCTTAAAGCAAGTTTCACTTTTACAACCTCTCTTATACATGTGGCAAACATAAAGTTTGTCTGTGTTACCTTTGTTAGAAACTTGCCTGTCCCTATGTACAATCATGTGATGTTTGATTCCTGCAACAGACTAACAAACCTTGTAACAAAACTCACACAAGTAACCTGCGGGTCTTTCTGGTAGAGTTGCATTCACAGGAGTTTGCACCTGACCTCTCTGGTATCATCTCACATGACTGGCTAAACCAGCTGCCAAAAGGGTGGCTTTTCCAAAAATACTGCAAGTGTGTTTGTGTGCTAATAGCTCTGGAACAGATTCTATTTCTTCTTTCTTAATGGTATGCTTTTCATTGGAATACTCAATTCTCTTCTGCTCAAAATTGTTACAGCATTCCCAAATCAATCTTCTTCAGCCAGATCTATCTCCAGCAACATTCCCGATCTTTAACATTGAAGCCAAGAGTCTTTAGGTTACATTTAACTACATCCTTGAAAAGTTTTTTACATACATACATATTTAAGTGGACATTGAGGTCAACATCCAGGGGCAACAGTCTGTTTCCACATCTGACCAATAGAATACAAAATGAGTTGATTTGCTACAATGTGTGTGGCATATATATATATATATATATATATATATAAAGAGAAGAGAACAGTTTATTTACTACATATACAGGAAATTGTGGAGAGCCATAATCACTTATGACCTGAAAGGATAGGACACATAGAAGAAGATATTTCCAGATATATCCACTTACATAAAAGGAAAATATTCTTCTGGCAAATGTATTCCAGACCAAATGCTAAAACCAATCCATTTGCCTAATTGCCTAATGATAAAGTTTACTACTTGTAAATCATTCTGGGTATGATGATAAACTACATCTGAAAGCAAAGCCTCTTATTGGGTGGTTTTGTGGAACATGGAACCACCTCTTAATTGCTGTTGTTTCCTGGTCTACCCTGACAAGGGGTGTTAGCACCTTTCAAGGTCCCATTTATGGTCAAAACATTATGAAAGTATAAAAGTAGATTTTTATAGTAAAAATACCAGCAATACATTTTAGAAAAAGCCTCTTTACAAAAATACATCAATGAAACCTGATCTATAAACTGATTTCTTATAAAGAATACATATTCTTTTCATATGAATCTATCCTAAAAATCTTGTAGGCATTAAATAACCCATTGTGGTTGATATTCTGTGAAATAAAATAAACCAAACCAAACTACTTGTAAAATCCCAAATATCTTTTTTCTTTAAAAAATGAACAAACTACCTTCTATTCTTGATTGAAATTGCTGAGGCCAGACTTCTGTAAAAGACAAGAAAGTTAGTTTCATGAATGATATCATCTTTGAATTCCATTTCTGGAAGTGAGACTGTAAGAGAAACATTTGACATTTGTGATTCTGCCAAGTAGGCAGTTGTCTGATTTGATGGTCAAGGTCTGGCAAGATGGAGTGGATTGATAGACACTCAGACAAATGGAGGGCCAGAGGTGAACGGCAAATTGAAATGTGAATCAAAGTTGGAGTTCGTAAATCATAAAGCAATGGTAGATGTTTGCTGAAGCAGCTGACTTTGAACAACTTACAGTAATCCACAATCCCAATTTGGTGGTCATTAAAGAACACACCTGAGACAATTAACTTCCACTTTTCCTTTTTTCTAACCAATTACTTTCTCAGAGACATAATTTCTTCCATGTGTATTTTGTTCTATATTTTATCCCTCAGTTAAATATTTCTTTTATTGTCTTAACAGTACCTGGTCACCTTTGGGCAAGCATCAATCAAGTTCTTTCTAAGTCATATACCTTAGAAATGTTTTAGAAATGATGAACCAATTCATTTATCTATAATAATATTGTAGTTAACAAGGTAATCTTACAGAATATTGGCACCATAGGGGCAATCTCCTCACAGACAAAGAATAGATTTGAAACAACAGAAATATAGTTCTACAGAAGGATGCTGAGGGCACCATGGACTGAACATGTGAGCAGCAACAAAGTTTTAGAGGAAATGGAACAAAAGGGACCCTTAAATTAAGTTAGAAAGAAACAGTTGAAATTTATATACCATATAATGAGGAAAGAGTGTTTGGAAAATTTGATACTGACAGAAGATTGAAGAGAAGAGTGACAAAGTAAAACAATGCATAACTTACCTAGTGAGCTTAACTAAATGGATAGTGGAACAGGGTTTAGAAGAGATAACAAAAAGAGAAAATTTATTTATTAAGAGCTACAAAGGACAGAAAATTGTGGAGAGATATGATTGCCTACATCTTGAAGGGGTATGGTACATAGAAGAAGAAGTGGAATTTAGTTCTTAGTCGTTTCAAGCTAAGTTGAGTAAATATCTCCAATTGCTGTGTGTGTGAAAAATCTTACCTGATTTCTCTCTATTTGCTTAATTCCTCTTCTACAGCTAAAGTAAAGTCATGATGATCTGCAGTCCTTTAAAAAGGCTGTGGTGAAATAATTTATTACATGGAACTTTAAAGTGGTCTGTTTTTATTTAATATATATATATATAGGGAGAAAGGAACAGTTTATTTACTACATATACAGGAAATTGTGGAGACTCATAATCACTCATGACCTGAAAGATAGAAAGAGATATTTCCAGATATATCCACTTACATAAAAGGAAAATAGTGAGATAAGCCTTTTCCATACAGGAAACATTTGTCATTCATTTACAGAAAAATTTGCTTTACTGTTACTTGAAATTTATATTTTTCTCTTGAAAAAGTTTTACAAGAAAACAAGTATCTCAAGTCCATTAACTGTTGTCGCTCTTTTTAGTTTCCTTTCCAACTTTTTGTTTAAGGTTATATGGAAAATCAACATCTTGATTATATCATTATTTTCTCTTTGAGTTACATGCGCTATTCATTTTAGTTATTGCTGCCATTGGAATTCTTCAAGTGATGTGGTATTTGTTATTTGGTAAAGTTCTTTACAATTCTGTAGCACCAGTTTTTGAGATTGGATGAAGGGTAAACTTATTTAAGACTTAAGGATGCATTTTCTTGAACCTATCTTAACCATTGATCTGAGAAAATGTTTGTATATAGCTGATAATTTTAGACATTTCAGAACAAGCTGAATGCTATGCATGGCATCTGTATGAAAGTTATAATCTAAAAAAGCTATTTAAGAACATAACTTCAGTTCTTAGGTTAATGTTTTGGTTTTGTAGCATCTTGTGATGTTGGACAAAAGTACCTTTAGTGTAGCATATTCTATGTTCAATTTCCTTTTCTATGCTAAATTTGTTATAACTGATCTATACACAGATATATTTGAAGTATTTAGAATTTAGTAATTCCCTATTCTGAGTTTTTAATGATGGATTCAGGTTATGTGCCATCATTGTTTACTACTGATTTTATATAATAAAAAGCATTTAATTGGTGTCTGATTTTTCCCATTTAGAAAAACTAAAACAAAACTGTTATCTTTTAATTGTCTTAGAGATCCTTTTTGCTTTCCCTCAGCATGGCCGATGCTAAACTCCAAGAGAGTAACTCATTATGCCTTCTCACTCTCAGGTTAATGTCTTTAATTGTTGGTCTGAGAATATAATTATATATAACTGAGAGTTTAGACATTTATATACATGTTGAATACTATGCATGATGTCTATATGATTGACAATGCTATTTAAGAACATGACTTGAGTTCTAAGGTTAATGTTTTGGTTTGTAGTATATTGCAAATAAAACAGCATTTCTTTAATTTCATTGCTTCCTTTTTTTCTTTTGCAGGTTTGTGGCATGAATGGTATTTCATACATGAATGAGTGTAAACTGAAACTTGAAAATTGCCAGAAAAGGTCCGATGTGCAGGTGAAACACAAAGGACTTTGTAGTAAGTATAGTAGACACAGTTTTTATTAAAATAATTGCAATTAATTTAGTTAATTGCATATATATGATTGGGCAATAAATTATGAATAATAAATGTAAACATTAAACCAATAATTGAATTATTAATAATTATTAATAATTTAATGAATGGACATGTGTGACAAAGTGGAAAAAGTTTTCATATGACATGTTTTGTCCTTTAGTTAGTCCGATGAAGACATAAAGGATGAAACCTGTCGCAAGAAAACTTTTTCCACTTTGTCATACATTTTTTTCTCAATATTCTTCCTGATATCAAAAAATATCTATCTATCTATCTATCTATCTATCTATCTATCTATCTATCTATCTATCTATCTATCTATCTATCTATCTATCTCATGGATATGTGTGTAGTCATTATTAGCACAGAAAGTGGAATTGGGGAGCCAAGTTGAAATTCTAGACAATTCTGTTGTGTACACTTGCATACAAATACCTTTCAGAAAGGTATAAATCTTTTATTCCCCATCTATAGGTTAAACAGTATGGTAGATGTGAGTTCTCTAGGCTCCTTGGATGGCAACCAGTCTAAGACAAGGAAAACTCTGAATTCCAAAATCATAGAGAAGACAGTGGAAAAATATTTCACTTTTCTAAGAAGGCATGACAGTTGACAGATAATAAAGAAAAGGAAACTGTGGAGAGCCATGATCGCCTCTGTCCTGAAGGGACATGGCATTTAAAAAAAAAAAGATAGCCTAGTCTGTCATGCTATTTAACCTATAGCTAGGTGGACAGAAAAACTGGATCTGTAACTTTCTTAAGGCTATTTGCATGAAAGTGAATGCAATAACCTTGGCTGGAATATGAACTTAGCATATTGGTCCCACTTCTCATGTTGATAACTACAATGCTACATGCATATCTTCTGTGGCAGAAACATACCTTTCTTCGTTCCTGAATACAACAGCCGAAATGTTGTGATAAATATGGCAAAAAAATGGACAATAGTTTGAATAATGTAAATAATGTAAATTGTGTATATGTGTGTGTGATTGTATATCTATATATAAAATTCTGTGACTTCTGTTAGTCTATCCATCACACACTCTAAAATAGCCATACCCTGACCAATCTTAACCAAATTTTGGAGAGTAGCGTAAACAAGTAATGGGATAGAGGAAAGGATGAAGAGAAGGATGGGGAATAAATCAAGGCATCTGGAGATGTCGATTGACATTACATTTGAATAGTTGGAGATTATAGCTATCAGGGAAGCGAGTAAGAAGAATGGAGTTCCACAGACAGGAAGTGCAAGCCATGAAGCTATTGGAGTAGAAAAGACAACTACATTTAACCATTTTGACAGTGAAAGTGGGGGGGGCTGATTACCAACCTAGTAGCACATTTAAATTCAAATTCTTATTTGAAATGTTCTTTTTCTTTAATAGAATATTGAAAAATATGATGATGTCAGAAAGACAAAAATTATTTTGAAATATGAAACCATTTAGAAATTATTGATTTTCTTTTTGTCTTTTACAGATGGTTGTGAGAATAAAAAATGTCACTTTTATGCTGTTTGTCAAAGCGATGGCAAAAATGCAAGATGTGTATGTCCATCGGCCTGTGTGGAGGTAAGTAATTGTTCTTTACTCTAAAGCAGTGGTTTCCAACCTTTTTTATATCCAACACCCCTAAAAAAATTTAATATATTCTTGCACCCTTAAAGTAATAATTTATTTAAGAATAAAGGTGAAGGTTGTTAACCATGTTCACCATAGTCTATGAATATAGAATACAGTGCAGTATATAATCTGTTCAATAAAACAATGTTAAAGATTAATACTCACGAGTCAGACACTCTACTGAATCCAACTATACCGCCAATACCACCAGCAGCTGTTCTGTAATTCTTCAGTCTTCGATATCAAAGGCAGTGAATATTTGGGAAAAACATGGCTGCCTTTATACATGTCGCATTGAATATTTTGAGCCTTCTGATTGGTTAACCCTTCTATTGGTGAACTATAAAATGAGTCAGCTCATTTTGGCTGGCTCACCAGGGTACCCAAAAATTCCAACAAAGGTGACCAAAATAAATTCATATAAGCAATTTTAAAACAGAATATAAATAATTTTAATATATAAAAAAAAATGTAAAAGAAAAAATATTACAAAAAATTAAAAGTTGCATAAACCTTATAAAACTAAAATCTTCATCCATGCATGAAATTTCTTTCAAAAAATTACAGGAATAATGTTCAAAGCCAATTTAAATTTAATGACTTTTTTGTTCCTGTTTATTGCTTAAGTGACACTTAGTTGCTGATAGCAATCTATATGACTGACTGTGTACCCAAGTGCTTTCTTGATTTTGTCTTGATTGACAAATGTTAAGAAATAAAAATTGAAGGTAATTCACTAAAAACATGAAACAAGACCCTCATTTTAAAAAAAAAGTTACAGGGCAGTGCCATTTAAAAGGAAACAGTATGTCAAAATCCACTAAAATTCATACAGAATCTCATTCTACTGAATAGAGGGAAAAAAAAGACATCCCTATCTTTAATTTGGACTTGAAAAAAAAATCATTGCTTTTATTATATATAGGACAGTACCCTTAATATAAACAAAAAACTGAAATGTTATCTCGCACCAACTAGAATGCTATCTCACACCCCAAGGAGTGCAAGCACCCCTGGTTGGAAACTCTGCTCTAAAGGAATAGTTTTTTTTTCATTTGCATGACATGGCTTTCAAATAACCATATTGTTGCATGACATACTGAATAAAAGTATTTTTGTTTTCTAATTATATTTTTCATTTAAAAAAAATGATATAACTTCAATTTTTTTGTTTTATACAATATTGATAAAATGACTTCAAAATAATTAATCCTGCAAATTTTAAAGATGACAATACTTCATCAATTTCTATAGACTGATAGTACAAATTCCCAAACAAATAACAAAAGCCACATCACTTGAAGACATGAAGATAGCAGCAACAAAAAAAAAAATAGGTAGCACTTTTTTTTCTTTTTTTTTTTTACAATAAGGTTCACCCTGTACAAGGCCCAGGGACCACTTGCAGTAGAGGGTTACATTAATGGGTACTTTATATGGATAGGAGAGAGAGATTACAGTTAACCCTGGACTTGAACAGGTTAAACTTGTAGTGATCAGTGAAACATCCTCTCCAGAGTCAGTTCTATTTAGTAGTGGTTCACGAGAAAAAACTCACTTCTCACTGATGAAATATGGAAGGAATATAGGTAGTTTGCTACAATATATGTGTATCCATATATTGTTGTAGATGCTTATAAATAATCTGAGTATATTTTTAAGCAGATTATTAATGTAAATCAAAAAGAGGATTGGTCTGAGAAATGGAAAATAATACAGCTATGGGGAAGTGGCTGAAGCAGAGAGAGTTGCCAGATCAGGACCAATAACATTGCCAAATTCTTCTTTGGATTTTATTACAAATCTCTAAATATGTAGCAGAAGCATCAGACCATATGTGGCAGAAATATTCAATGCGTAGGTGAACGGTATTCAATAAGATATTAGTTATCACTGAAATCTTATTAATTTAATCATTTCCATAATTACTTTATTAAATATGAAAATTATAAAATGTTATTTAAGAATACCAATATATCTTGAAATATGAGACTTTGTTGAAACAAAATTATACTGAGTGATACTGATATTGAGACAAGATTCAAGTGGAAACTTTCATTGTGCAGCTGATTTTTTGTCAGGGTAAAATACTTCAGTAACTGTGAACCTTCTCATGTTTAATTTGTACTGGTTTATCTACCTACCTACCAATAGTGTGTTTCTTTATTAAGACTCTGCAGTCACAAGTTAGTTTATTACTCACACAGTTCATATCTATTCAAATACTTATTGTATACTTCAAGCTTCTTGCATTCCATTTAAAAATATTGACTTTACAACCAAAGGAGTACCTTACAACCCAAGGATCTGATAATGCAGTGGTTTTCCAACATTGTTGTTCAATATTCCAGTACAAACAGAAACCACATCACTTGAGAATTTTCAACAGTAGCAACAGCTAAGATGGATATCACATGTAACTCAAAGAGAGTGAATAATAACATAATGAAGACGTTGGCATTCCACACTGCTTCAAACAAAAGGTTAGGAAGGAAACTCTCAATACTAGGAGGAGTTTCTACTGGACATGAGAAAGCCCTTTTCCTGAAAAATCGTTTTAAAAGTATGATTTTATAAATCTCAACCTACAGTATGAGGGTTGTTCAAAAAGTTCTAAGCCTCACCAGAAGGAGTTCAAAAAAACAAGACAGTTTTTCACTATTTTTCAATATTGTGCCTCTTGACATCAATGAACTTGGTCCAATAATACATCACAGAAACTGGTGGCATCCTGGTCCTCAAAAAACCACTTCACAGCTCATATGAACTCATCATTGTTTCCAAAATGGTGAGATTTGAGTTTAAGAAACAGGAAGAAGTCAGATACTTTATGAGTGCTCAGGCCTCTGTTTTGTCCATTTTTAGATTTTTCACAGACCTCTCACTTTTGTATGGTTCTCACCAGCAAAGAAATTAAGACAGAAATCTGAATTAGTTTTTCTAGTTTTGGTAGTTTAGAAGTGGTAGTGTGTTGCCATAACAAAAATGCTCAGTTACTAATCTGTGGTGGAAATTCTCAGCATCAACCTGGAAGTGAGTCAGAAGTGTCCTGAAAATGTCAACTCTTTTAAGCTTTTGCTCTGTTGTCAGCATTCTTGGGACCACTTTTGCAGACATCTTGCTTATCCCTAAGATCTCAATTAAAACAGTATGAACTGAATGAGAACTAATACCTATGGACTTGAATTCCACAGCCCACTGCTTCACAATTGCATAGGAAGGGGATTCTTCAGCAGTGTCTTCATGGATTTCCTTGGATTTCATACTTTTCTTTTACAGACACTTGATGACTGGTCAGGCATCTGTTTTGTCCATTTTTAGCTGTGTCGCAAAACCTCTCACCTTTGTATGGGTAAACATTTAGACAGAAATCTGAATTAATTTTTCTAGTTTTGGTAGTTTAGAAGTGTTAGTGTGTTGCCACAACAAAAATGTTCAACTATGGCTCTTGTTTCTGGGTGAGACTTGGAACTTTCTGAACGACTCTCGTATTTATTATTTTATTCTCTACTTTCTGGAACTTGCTTAGAACTTTTTGAATGATCCTTGTATTACTGACTGCCCAGTCAATGAATGTCAAATGTTTCCTTACCATTGCCATCACCAGATTAGGTTGCTGTCTATTGTTCAATGATGGGTGACCTTGCTAGTATATGATTTATTATAGAAGTTAATACATCATTTTTTTTAACTTTGAAAAAAATTCTGCTTTTGAAAATCTTGATCTGCATGAAAATACACAAAAAAATTAATATTTCTCTCAAGAGTTTGATATTTCTATATTCAATGAATGTCGCACGACTTTTTTTTTGCTGCAGGTTGAGAACAAGGTATGTGGAACTGACAGGATTACTTACCAAAATGAATGCGAGCTAAAGGTTGCTTCCTGTCGTGATCAAAAACTAATTGAAGTGGAATCTCGTGGAGACTGCGGTAAGTACAGAGATGTAGATGCTAAATATAGATAATAAATATATAGATATAAATAGATATCTTTAATATAGATGTAGTGGGTGCTGAAATATAGATATTGACAAACAGATTTAGAATACATATAGATATTGACACATTTTTATTATCTATCTGTCATATCTGTATGGTGACATGCATCTGTTTTTTAGGGGATTTTTTTTTACATTTCTTCTTTTTTTATCAATTTTCTTTCCCTGTATTACCCAGCTTTTTTTCTTCTCCTGTAAACTACTTTTGTGTGTAAACCTTCTTTAAGCATGAAGCATATCACTGTTCATTTTTACTTCTTTCTTCTTTCAAGTCAACAACATGAAATCATTTTTCTTCTTTCATTGTTTCATGCTTCATGACTGTCCACAGGCTAAAAATTTCAATTTTTGTATTTCACTCACGAAATTATAATGTATATCTGTGGAAATGGCTTAAAAAGGCATTTTTTTTTATAAAGATTTAATCAAAACAACTCTTTGAGCAGTTTTCTAAAATCCATGCACACTTTATTTATCAGTGATGTTTTCTTAAACCAAACCTACACTGCTTGCAAAGAATCATGTAATGCCTTATTCACAAAGCCAAGTTTTATTTTCTTGAGAAAATCCAATTTGGGGTCTCTTTATCAAGAATCTAAATCTATTCACACTACAGTCACACCAGTAACTGAATGGAATGAATTGTTACATAGTAAATTCATTAAATTCAGATACTCAAGAGAAATGGAATAATACTACATAAAATTATGTTAATCCAATTAAACAAATCTATCTATCTATCTATCTATCTATGTATATATATATATGTATATATATATATATATGTATATATGAATAAAGACAAAAAGAAAACTTAGCTCACTTAGCACGCACATACACATATAAAATAATAACTGGCCACTTGTATTCGAGGATATCCATCTATTAGAGCAGCTAACCAATCCCTATTGCAGACACTTGCTCAGGTACATTTGTATTTGTTCGACACTGACAGAGCCAAACTATGCTTTATACTGCAACTACACTGAACAGACCTTAGTTACAGTTTCTGGGACAGAGTGTGTTATCTAGCATGATCAACAATCTGAACAAGGCCAGTGCACTCCACTCAAACCCTCGTTCACGGTGACTTGTGATTTCATGCTAGCACAGCTATTGACGCCCCCACCAAGTGTTCTGTCTAACCAATTTCTCTCACAAGGCCTGGGTCAACCCATGGTGTGGTTTTCAGGCACTTTCTAAAGGTGTTGCATGCTGGGATCATCCCCTCCAGACGGATAACATCAAGAAGTCTCTTGACAAACCAACCGAGATGAGATTTGAACCTGGGTCTCATAGACAGAAAGTGAATGTTTAACCACTCCACCACACACATATATATATATATATATATATATATATATATATATATATATATATATATATATCAATTAAGACAGAAATAAATCAAGAAATTATAGTGTGGAAACTACAAAAAGGTAGAAAGTTTGTAAATTTCTTGCAGGTAGAATCATACCTTGGCAGCCATTTTAAAAAAGAATTCAAATTTGCTGTTTACACAGTCTGAGCCGGACAGATTCTTTCGATGGAATTGTTGGTGTCTGTAGAAATGTTTAAAAAAATTACTTTTTCTGATGATTAAAAAAACATAAAGACAATCATTTAATATTTGTGTAGTTTATTTTTCTTTTTTTGGATACAATTTTTTTTTTTTATCAAGTGATTGACCATAAAAATAAATCTTTACTATTTTAATACCCAGAGTCAACTTATTTCATTCATATTCCATTAGTAAGGAGGAAGTTCCACTCAGACAGCTTCTATGCCAGAACGGTCACTTTGAGGGTGCTTCTACAATCACAACAATTTAAACCTCTCTAAGTCTAGGATCAGCCGTTATCTTTCCTACATATCCTCATAGTAGGCACTTCTTACTTTCTCATTTTACGCCTTTACTATAACCTTATTTAGTAACTCTGTACATTGTGGCTCTTGGGCCTCGTATTGGGTGAAGAAAAGTATAAAAAAAATAGAAAGAATTTGCAATGACTTTTATGAAGACATCTCCTTTATCTTGTTTTGAGCTTGGGATCAAAGTATCATATCTGTCCTTAGTTATGAAGTATTACTGGTTCTGGGGTTTCCAACCCTTCAGCAGCAGAAGCTTCCTCCTTGCACTCAAGTAGAAGAGTTTCTGAATGCCAATACCAGTATGACAGTAGTCACAAGAACTGGGAAAATTTTGTCATTGGCCTATATGAGCACCAAACATTAAACTGACTATGTGTCACATACTACTACTGAAGAGTAGTAGGAAAATATAAGATAAGTATATAAAATCAAACCCTAGTATCTATTCTCTTCTTGATTAAGCTATGAGGGAATTTTTGTTGCAGAGATTCTAATCATGCAACACTACCTTTCTCACTGCACTCAAGAAAGATGGTTGGTAGATGCCAGTGCCAGTGTAACAGTGATTATAAAGGCTGGATAAGATTTTGTTCTGGCCATTATCTATGCATAGCGACAGTTATGGTCAGATCTCAGATTGAGGAATTGGAGAGCCAAGTTCAAATTCCAGTCAAATCCATTATATTCACTTACGTGCTAATACCCTTGGAAAAGGTATAAATCCTCTTCTTCTCCCACCAGCTATGGGTAAATAGCAGGACAGACTGGGTTCTACTAGTCTACTGCAGAAAGAAATGGCAACCTACTGTGGAAAAAAGTCTGCCTCATCAGTTGTGTATCAAAAGATACATGATCGCCTAAGTGTGTATCACACATGGCACATAACTGACTGATATTTACCTAGATCCCCACCATAGATCTAAATAAACACCAGTTTTCATGAAGAACTTTTGACATGGAGAGGGAAACTTACCTTCATCCCTAGCACAAATTATAACTGAAATAATATTACATTTTTTTGTCTTTTATAGACAGTGATAAGTATAAGAACATAAGTAACATAGCTAAAAACTCAATTTGTTTCACAAAGATGCTGTCAGTGTCAGCAAATGTATTTTTTTGAAGTAGTATCTGTAATCATTTAAAACTAGAATGCAAAATAATAGCATTCAAATTGGCGGAGTTAAATATCTGAATACATGGTGATGCTGAAAAAAAGGACATGGAAAAGTTATAAACCACTTGATGCCCCTGCATGGCAAATGGTTTTATAGATTAAGATACAAACCATCTATGGATCTGTGTCAGCTAGTAGTGCAAGAACAGCATCTTTTTCATGAATTGAAGTCAAGTCAGGCAGACACAGTCCTGGACAGGATATTTTTATGGGAGATCAGCAGTTACCTGTGCAGTATACGTTCCTTCCACATGACACTTATGTTATCCATGGGAAGGACAAAAGTCAGAATTCCTTTGCACTGGTGTCAACACAGGAATTGCTAAAACAACATTAGATGCAATATTAAACTGCTTTTTTGGACCCCAGATTTTACCCACAGGGTTTACCCACAGAAACCTTTCCTGTGATTAAGGATGAAGGCAAGGAAGTATTATTAAATGGACTGATTTCCCAGGTTAACAAGTTCCATCTACCTGAAAGATTAAGATATGCATGCAAATATGTTTGAGCTTTCAATTTGAATAGAGTTGATCTAAATTTCTTAATGGAAAGTGCAACTTTGGAGAAAAAGATTCAGGTCATTGAAATGTCTTAAATAATATGGGAATCATAGAAAAAAACAAAACAATGATGACAACAAATTATAATATGAGCCCTGGTAAAAAAAAATATTTATTGAGACATTAGGTTTTTAAGTCCCCAAAATTCATACACTGATGGCCCAGTGGATAAAATCATCGGTTGAAGCAATCCAGTGACTTGACTCAAGGAATTGTGTGTTCAATACCTGGCCACAGCAGAGGTGAACAAAAACTTCAAGAGTTGAGTTACTAAAAAGGGAAATAACTGAAAGTGAGATATCTGGAAGAGGCATGACACGTGGAACTAGAACAATCTACCCTGGTAGACAAAATAAAGGTTTCAGTTTGAAATTACAATCACCTGAAGAAGGCCTGAGCGTACAACAGCTGAAACGTCATGAATATGGCATCAAAGATGAGGACTGCAGTCTAAACAATGTAAATAGTTAAGATACCTCATCTCAGAAATATAGACAGTGATTGTATCAAATTTCAAAGCCATTTTTACAGCACTTTGAATATTTTAAAATGAAATTAATTTAACATACCAGGTTTTCGAAATCAAACTGACTTTACTCCCGATCAAGTTTTTCCCCTTCCTTCTGACTGAAAAATTATAGAAAAATATAACAAACATTCACAGCATCTGATTATTTTGCTTTATAATTCTTTACTTGTAAATTTACTTTTATGATGGGTGGAAAAAATTTGAGTATTATTTGCAAACCTTCTGCAAATATCAACACCCATAAAAATCTTTGGTGTTAATTCTTGCCTTAAATTTTCTTTGCTTATTTTTCCTTGCCAGACAAATGCGCCAAAGTCCGTTGTCCATTTGGATCAACATGTGAAGATGGCGATTGTGTTTGTCCCCAAGTGTGTGCCGCTGATTTTGAGCCGCTGTGTGCCAGCAACGGACAAATCTATACCAACGAGTGTGAGATGAAGAAAGATGCATGCCTGAAAAAAACAGAGTTATACATTGTAAACAATGGACCCTGTGATGAAATATCAGGATCTGGTTTAGGTGAGTAGATATACAAGTGGTTTCTTGCTTTTTTTTTTTTTACCCTTTTACTCCATTTTGTTCTGAGTTCTTGTTATAATTATTTTGTTGTTGCTTTTCATGAATTTATTTCATTGAATTTCAGTGAATTTTTGTCCATTTATCTACTGCCATAACGTAGCTTCCCTGTACCTTTTCTATAAATACTAATTGTAATTGTTCAGTTGAACTTTCCTCTTTCATAGTTGTTGTTTTTTATTCCCCTTCCTCCACAGACAAAAATTGTAATATGGGAACTAGTTAGGACTACATAGAGACTTTGAGGTATTATGGTGGATGTATCAGGTCATCCCATAAGTTCTGCCTGAATTTTAACTTTTTGTTAAAATGAACAAAATTTAAAGAGTATTTTATAATGTCTAATGGAGCTGAACATTATTTTTATGTTTAGATGCATTTAAACTGATCAAATTTTATTTCAGAGAACAATAAAATTAAATTTTGTTTGATTAAAACCCTGCTAACATGGAATTACCCAAGAATCATTTGAGGCACATAATGCTTAATGAGTTCAAAAAAGGATACTCAGCAGCTGAAGTGGCTAGAAACATTCATTCAGTTTATGGAGAGGAATGTGTGAATGAAAGAACTTGCAGAAGATGGTTTGCAAAATTCAGAGGTGGAGATTTCACCCTTGACGATAAAGATCAAACCGGACGTCCAGTTGAGTTTGATGAAAAGCTTCTTGAAGCAGCCCTTGAAGAAAATCCTGCTTTATCAGTTGAGGAATTGGCAGTGGTTCTCAGTTCAAACCATACAACTGTTCATCATCATCTTCAACAACTTGGAAAAGTTCCTAAACTTGGAAAATGGGTGCTTCATGAATTTTCTGAAAACAACCTCAAATCCCGAGTTGGCATCTGCTCTTCTCTCCATTCTCGCCAACGTTTTTCACCTTTTTTGGATAGACTTGGATCTTTTATCGAAATGTTAAGCATCGTAGACAGTGGCTTGGTAAACAGTAAGCAATTAGAGCATTTGAACCAAGCTTTGAGGAAAAAAAGACCTGCTCTAGTGAATCGAAGAGGTGATGTTTCATCAGGACAATGCGCGACCACACACAACAAGAATCACGTCAAAAGATTGAAGAACTTGGTTGGGAGAAAATTCCTCATCTACCTTATTCTCCCTATCTTGCTCCTTCAGACTACCATTTGTTTCGTAGCTTACAGAATCATTTGGAAGAAACAGCTTTGTAACACAGGAAGAGGTTAAAACTGACATTTGTGAGTTCTTGAATCAAAGCCCAAAAGAATTTTACTGTAATGGAATTAGTAAGCTTGTTAATAGATGGAAGCAAGTCATAGATAATCAGGGAAAATACATTGTTGATTGAATCTGTAATTAAATGTAACATTTGGTCACTTGTTTTCTTTATTCAAAATTCGGACAGAACTTATGGGATGACCTGATAGTAAGAACGGTAAGTAAGAATGTGTTGTTTTGGTGTAAGGAACACAATGGTATGTTTTGGTCAGTAATTGTGACTAGCTAAGTTTAAAATAAGACAGATTGAATACTATCCTTCCCCCATCCCCCTTTTGGCCTTGTACCACATTTTTGTACTTTCAAAATAAATATTATTTTCCTCTAGTGTAACTAGACTTTGAATTTAAATGCTGTACTACATTGGGTGTAATCTCTCATCATTTTACAGTTGAAATGGTTAGATGTATCTTTTAGTTTTATTCTAACAGTTTCAGTTTTTGTACTTCTCACTTGTAGAACTCCTTTCCAGCTTCTTGCTTCTCAGTTAACTTTCATCTTCAAAAATTTAAATGCAATATCAATTGTTATCTTCTGTCTCCTTAATTCCTGTTCTTTTATTGTTAATAATTTTTTTTCTTATATTCTTTCACACTCAGTAACCCCTGATATCTTAGTGTCTTTAATGCTTTGAAATGAATAAAGAAAAAGTCCAGAAACTTATTGGTTTGGTACTAGTTATGATCTGGCTTATACACTATGCCATATTGTATTGTAGTTTGTATATATAGAATACAGATTTTAATTCAAAAGGTTTATAATATCTTTATTTAACCTACCCATGTAGAAAGTCAAAATCTGTCAACAGACTTATATAATTGAAATTAATAAGGTTCTATAATGGCATTTATTAAAATAATTCTATATTTCTATGTGGCTGAGTGGTTAGAACATTAGCATTCTAACTATGAGAGCCAGGTTTGAATCTCATCTTGGTTGATTTGTTATTGTAAGTAACTGTATAGTGACTTTATTGTCACCCTGTATATATATATATATATATATATATATATATATATATATATGTAAAATGTGTATATAAATATAAATAAATATATATATGTATAATTATTTATATATTATATGCACGGTACTTATTAAATTTTAACATACAAATGCGTATGTATAGACACAACACCACCTGTATACATACATATGTCATATCCAAAACTGCCCACATATGTTTATATATGTATGAGTCCCAACGGACGACCAAGTATGTATATGTGTCTGCATACATCGATGTTTGCATTAATACGATGACAAAACAACGAAGTCCCCCCCCCTTCCAAAATAACACCAATACACGCAATCTACATAAACCCAAATTTTTTTAAAAATTAATCAGTTTGTCTGACGATCTCTAAAGTGTGAAACCCAGGGTCACAAACTCACATCTATCCAACCAAATATATATATATATATATATATATATATATATATATATGTGTGTGTGTAGTGTGTGTAACCCTTGATACAGATACTATACTCTGATCCTAAGCAGAAATACCAGAGAACAAAACTCTAATCCTCATCAAATTGCAATTATACAAGACTCTAATTCTCAAAGAAGAAAACTCCATCATTTTTGATAGGTACTATGCTAGTTCATTGAATAATGATAACATTTCAGCAAAGGACTTCCATGAACATCAATCAGCAATTTCTTATGCATTTTATAGATAATCTGACTTTGACATATTCTTTATGGCTGCACTCTTCTTCTACCAGATTCCCAATCAAAGACATCTCAAAGCTAATTGACTATTGCTTCAATGAATCACTTAAAACCAAGACTTTCCAGTTTCTAAAGGACCATTCATGCTGGTGAAAGAAATTGTCAAAATCTTACGATTACAATTGCAACTATTGCAACTGATTCAATTTAGAAAATTTTTCCAGATTTTTTTTCCTCCACCTGCCAAGTGTCTCTTGGTTCGAGGTTGAATCCTGTGTAATCTAAATTAATGTTTACAAATTTTCCTCTGGCGCAAAGAACCCATTGCACTGACTCTGCTTCTTGCATACACTGTCTGTTTAAATGATTTGGGCCAATTTACCCTTGGTTGCTCTCTCTTCTTTTACGATATTATTCCATTCAGTTATATTTCCTGACCATTTCTTGTCTACAATTCCACATATTCAATGCAACCAGCTATTTGAGCCATTTAATGGTTTTCTTGACATCTGCACTCCCATAAAAGTAAATGTTTCTTTTGACATTGTATTTCTCAGCTCATTCTGTTTGACATATCTGAGCAGAGGAAAAAATCTTCTTTCTGTTGCTTTTGTTAATGTCTGCATTTTACTGCCACACATTCTCTGCTGGCCACGTTCATTGACTGGGGAGTGTTATAGCATCCTAAAGTGCACATTAGTGATCACACATGAGATGATAGTGACATGCACATTGCAAGTGACATGTATCAAGTGACTTAGTAAAACCCGGGGACAGGTTGAAGGTGAACATGTAAATAACGACTTTAGGAATTCAGAAAAAAAACTTATTTGACAGTGTGCAAACATTATTTAAGAGTTTGTGATATCTAAACAAATTTGGAATCAAATCAGAAACATTAATATGTGATTAAAAACTCCGTTTAGCACTACATGACCATTATACAGCAGTCAGTGTGCCATTAGCCATATTCATGGTCAAGATCAGAATCTCCAATAAAGGATTAAATATACAGATTTCAACTTAATATACTAGTTTGATATTCTATAACCCTTATATAGCACACTATATGCCATGTCCCCTAAGGACATTGGTGATCATGGCTCTTCACAATTTCCTGTTCTTTGTAGCTTTTGTCTTTTTGTCATTTCTCCTAAACTTTGTTCCACCATCCATTTACTCAAGCTCACTAAGTACATTATACATTGCTTTCCTCTGTTCCTCTTGACTTCAATCTGTCCTGTGAGTATCAAATATTCCAAGCCCTTTTTCATATGTACCCTAGAAGTTTCAACTGTTTCTTTTTGATGTTAAGTATAAGTTTGCTTTTGTTACCATTTTCTCTAAAACTTCATTATTGCTCTCATATTCAATCCATGTTATCTTCAGCATCCTTATGCTGTTGCTTCAAATCTCTTCATGTTTGAGGAGGTGTACAATAAAACTATATTTATTTATTCACTTCTTGTTTCATCAGAAATGGCAATCAGATGTTTTTTTCTTACCTCTTAAGTCTTTTCAGGTATAGACATAGAATCCCTTTATTATACTGGCATTTTTTAAAAAATCTTTTTTATCTTCTTCTTTCTTAATAAACTTGTTGATACTGGTCTTCAGTATGATTAAAAAAAAGGCTGTCAAGATTTTTGCATAAAGAGAATACACCAATATAAAACATTCACTCATTCTTTCTTTCATTCATTCATTTTGTTCTTGCTGCATAAGAAATGGTAGTCAGTTCTTTTGTTTCTTTTTTTCTTTTTCAATTCTTGCCTCCAAAATCTTTAGAGGTGCAGAATCCATTCTTGTCATCAATGTCGTTAGCAGCACAAAATCCATTCTTATTAGCTTTAAAATTACCTGAATTATCATAAATTAAAAAACAAATTTTGTGTTTCTATTCTGACATTCTTGTTAAATCAACATGATTGATTCCTTCATTTCTTTTTTATTTTTATTTTCAGTTATCCTTGTGTTTTTTCTTTTTGTATTTTTGGGTTTCATAATTAGTTGAGTCTTCACTTCAATTCTCATTCCTCTTTTTTGTTCAGTTCTTTCACTGATTGCAAGTCAGTTTTTTTTCCTAAAACACTTTTTGTGTTATGACGAGCCTTATTTTCTATATTGCAAAGTTCATCTGTCAATCTAATCTAGTTTTTCATGGGTGAATATGTTTCTCAAATGTTATTTTCTAATAAGAAATAGTAAAACCTTGTCAAGGTACCAAAATCAAGGAAAATTATTTCAATCTTCAAAGATATCAGTTTTCCTCTTTTTGTCTTCTATTAATACAATCCTTATTGATAATAAAAATAAGCATCAATCACTATTTCAGTTCAGAAGCAGAACAAATTTAATCCTTTTCTGTGTTTGCTGAATGATTATTACAACTCAACAGTTAGAAATTAGTCAATCTGCTCTCCATGGGAAACTGATTTTCGACAATGTTTGATTTTTTTCTAAGGATTTGGCATGACCAGAAATTCACCTGCCTTTAATTCCAGAAAAATAATTGTTTTAAGAAACAAATGATTTTTAGGAAATTTTCAGTGTTACAAGGGCTCATATTTTACAGCCTGTTACCCAAAGATATCTGTTCTCCTGTAAAGCAACAAATCCTGGACAATTTCATCAAAGATGAAGAGACTTGAAACAATAGAAATGTGGTTCTATAGAAAGATGCTGATGGGAGCAACGATGAGGTTTTTGGAGAAAATGGAAACAAAAAGGAAACTTATACTTAACATCAGGAAGAAGCAGTTGAAATTTCTGTGACATGTAATGTGGAAGAAAGGCTTGGAAAAAAATCTGATCAGATTGAGGGAAAGAACGACAGACGAAAGCAGCACGTAACATACTTGATGAGTTTGAGCAAATGGATGGAGGAACAGGGTTTGGGAGAAATAACAAAAAAAAAAAAAAAAAACTTATTAAGAGATACAAGGGACAGGAAGATGTGGAGGGCCATGAAGGGACACAGAACATGAAAGAAAATGACCCAAAGAAATGAAGAGAAATTACATAGTAAATATTAAATTTTTGATCCTTAAATTTTGATGTTCAGTCTGACAATTGATAAAAATTTTGAAGTTTAATCCATCTTTGATAAGCATAACAGGTTGAATAAAATCTAAGCTAAAACAAAAATCCTCATTGATAATACAATTAAATCAGGCAACAAAAGAAACAGATTATTTCTTCTGTTTGATAATATTTACATGCATATTTCTTATCCAAAATGTAACACTTATTATAGGACAGAGATAGTATAATTTTACTTTTATTGTCCCAAAATGGTTGTTACATTTGCATACACATTTCATACACTAAATGTACAAGTATTATGGACAGCAATACAAGTCACAGGCAGATATTATTTAGACCTAACAACCACTTTTATTTATAGAGGAAGTCTCAATGTGCTCTGCTGATGACACAAAAAAATCTCTGAAAAAAGATGAAGCACAAATTGAATTACTATTGGGGTGTTCTCCCACCACATACCCGGATGCAATGATCAGCATATGTACATTGTCAAAGTGCAAGCCATGAAAATTAGCTTGCATATGGTCATTTCTCATTTCCAACCTCATTTCTGTTTGCTTTCATTATTCTGGAAAGTGACCTGCCTCTTTTGTTCAAGACCTTACATTTGATTAAGACCATAGAATGTATCTGTCAAAATGTTGTCTTTATAATAAAAGTTAAACAATGATTTTAATAGTTGGAATAACTCTTGAGTTATAAACAGTATCTGTTGAGATGTTAAGTGTTTCCCCGTGCATGTATTGAAATAAGGACAAACACATACGTAGGGAAAAATACTGGTATATCTGAAGAGGTATTTACAACAGAGAGATTAGTAGCCAAACGAACGCAGGTTAGTCAGTAACAATCAGAAAGAGTATAAAGTCCAACTGTATCTTCCGGTAGAGAGACGGAAGTGTGATTGTCACCTGATCTCCCAGAACTCTATAGAACCGTCCTATTAGCAGTAGAGAGATCAGTCCATTCTGATGAGAAGGTGGGTGACCCCAACAGTATCTGATGAAGATATTAGTTAATTCATTGACAAACATATTTCTTATTAGATAACATGATCCAATAATTTGGCAATGGTCATCAGGATATTCTTTTTCTTTTTATGTGCCATGTCCGTTCACATTCCGTCATCTAATTGCTTAAGGCCGCTAGGTATGTCATGCATTGTTTTCCCTTGTCTTTCTTTCCCTCGATTCAACCCATGAATATCAGATTCTCCAGGCCCTCCTTCCTAATTATGTGTCCCAGAAACTTCAGCTGCCTCTTCTTTATGTTAAGCATAAGCCTCCTCCTTGTTTGCATCCTCTTTAAGACTACATTGTTGCTCACACACTCAGTCCATACTATCCTTAGCATCCTTCTGTAGAACCACATCTCCATCACCTCGAGTCTCTTCTTCAACCTGCCATAAAGTAGGACAGATGTCACATAACAGCTCAGTATTCTTTTCTTTGTTACCAAAGAAATCCTCCTGTCTCACAATACTCTACCCAGCTTTCGGAATGTGTTCTTGGCCATCCCAATATGTCTATGGATCTCAGTGTTGCACTTACCATTCTCTGTCAAAATGATTCCCAGGTATTTAAACCTCTGTATCTGCTGGATTCTTGTGCTCCTGACCTGCAAATCACATTTCAGGCTCATTCTCTTACTGATGTTAGTTGTGTGCCAGTAACCTCTATGCAAAGACTGACCTAAATCCAACAATTTTTCATTATTTATTTTTAGCATATATTTATATGCATATTCTTATGTGGCAAAAGTATATGAAGTTATGAATATTCAATTTTTATTTTTCCTTTTCTTATTAATTTTTCTCTTTTTTTTCTTTTTATTTAAATTTAAAATATAATTTAAAATGAAGAAAATTGTTAAAAAACATTTACTTGATTTCTTTTGTTAAAGACAGATTATTTGTATCATTTGATGACGTAAATGATTTTCTTTTTCTTCTTCAGTTGATGGTTCTGGAAGTGGGTCCATTTGTGATGAAACCTCATGCAAATTTGGTGGAACCTGTGAGCTGTCAGAAGGTAGCACTTACCGCTGCACATGCAAGAATAGCTGTGATGCCATTAGGTATGTTGCATTTACTGTTTATAGAATCCTTCTCAGGTGTTCACTTTCACACCTTTTTTAATCATTGAAATTAATGATGGTATCTTTGCTAAAATGGATGCACATTCATTCAACTCCTGTAAGATTTTCTCAAATGTTCAGGCTTGATGATGATATAAAATGCAGTTTAAAATAAATGGAACATCTACTGAAATATGGATATCTACTAAAAATAACATTTAAAGTGATACATACATACATACATACATACATACATACATATATATATATATATATATATATATATAATATTTTGTGACAAAATTTCTCAAGTAGTCAGGCCAGTGAATGTAATTCATACTGTTTATTTAAAAAAATATTTTAAAATATTTAAAAAATAGAGCATTAACTTAAATAAACTGGATCTATTAAAATAACATATAAACAGAAAATATATTAAATAATTGTTGAACTTAATCTATTTCATATATATATATATATATATATATATATATATATATATATATAGATAGATAGATAATATTAGTGGTAAATATACACATACATATCTATAGCTCTAACATTCATCCCACACTCTCATACTTACACTCTCTCTAAATTTTATTTTTTATTTCCGGAGTTGTTTTTTGTGTTTTCTTTTTGAATTTGTAGGTCTGATGAATTGGATCGTATTTACAATTCCAATGGAATAATTATGACCATGGAATATTAGTGTTTAAGCCTTTTTATTATATATATATATATATATATATATATATATATCAAAATAATAACAAAAGAACAGTAAGATTTATAACCCAGTATCTTTAGCAATTTTATTTTTAAAAAAATAGTGCTCGATACAAAGAATAGGGGCATAATATTATAATTATTTTCTTTTTTTTTCAAAATATGATTCTATCATATTTTTAAAAAGAAAATAATTATAAAATTATATATATATATATATATATATATATACACATATGCACACATAAATTTATATATATGTATCTATTGCATATAGAACTCTCTTCTGGACTCTTACTTTTCAAGCAGCTTTGATCTACAATAATTTAAATGCAATGTCAATCATTATCTTCTGTCTTCTTAATTCCCATTGTTTTAGTTTTTTCTCCTTAATAATTTTCTTTCTCATATTCTGTCACACTCAGTAATGCTTTGCATCTTAGTGGCTTTATTATCTTGCTTGGGTGAAATGATATTAAAAAAAATGCTTATGCTGATGTAAACTGCACATATGCATGAAGGAGGAGGAGGGGATGCTGACATTTTAAACATTTAAATTTACAGTTTTCTTGTATGTGTTTGGGTATAAAGTCTAGCTAATTTCATGTAGTTTCTTTTGATTTTTACTTGTAGATTTATCACTTTTGTTATATATATATTTAAAACAACATACCTAGCTGCATATACAATTCCGGAAAATCCTCGTTGAAAACACAACTATACTTAAACATGAAAACAATAAACAACAACTAAAAATTCTTGAAGCTATATACATAAAACAGTTGAAACCTAACTTGAACAAAATAAACTATGAAATCTCCACAAATATTCTTAAATGCCTATAATTTATAACAGAAGCCATTGATTTATACCAATGGCTTCCCATACTTAATACTTCTCGTTTTCATTCTCGTGTGGTCATGTGTGACATCATGAGCTGTGGTGCGATTTTCGCTTCCAGCGTCTCATATGCACCCGTTTTTTATTGCTTGGAAATCTTCCATGTAAACATAAAAAGACTATTATTATTGTTTTGTCCGTGTATTGTTTAATATATTGAAATGTAATTGTCATCTTTGATAATGGCTTATGCAAGTCGAAAGCTTAGATAGAATTAAAAAATATGTATCAATATTGTGATTTTCTTTCTTCTTTTAATGATAATGTTATTAAGCTTATCAGATGATATGAAAAGAATTTACATAAAATAAATAGACAAAACTTGTCTATATTATTTAATGAAACATGCATCAATATATATATATATATATATATATATATATATATATAAAGTGTGGCAGTATGTTTTATGCTTGAATGCAATCTTCAGGACATGTGTTGTGTGTTGGCTCAACTATATATGCTGGTCAGTGGTGCATTATGGGTAGCAAAGTCTGTTGTATTATTCTAACAATTATGGGTAATGGTTATATTTCAAATTATTCTAGATTCTATTGAGCAGAAATAATTGTAGATCTGAATGTAATTATTTGTAGCTATTGTATAGTATTGTTTCTTAACTTTTTACTCATTATTTACTATTGATTTCTTAATTATTTATTGTTGGTTATTATTATTATTATATTAATACAATAGACCTTGCTACCCATAATGTACTATTGACCAGCATATATAAATAGTCAAGCTGAAACCCATGGCTTAAAGATTGTGTTCAAGCATGAAACAGGTTGTGGCTGCTTGGTGTTAATCTCAGTGTACTCTTTTATATTTACAAATACTCTGTCCCTGATACTAAGTACTTTTACCCATAAATAAAGCATACCTTAAAACTATATATATATATATATATAACACACACACACACACACATACACATATCTATATATATTCAAGCATGTTTCTTTTGCGATGTCAGTGAACACCTGTTGCTTGATAATACTGGCTCGACAAGTACCTCGTATAGTGACCTGAATAAGAAATAGTATAGTGAATAGAGTCAGCTACTTCCTACATATATACATTTCCTCTATGTTCACATGGTATACTTAATTCAATAATGGGATTGCCTGTGTTTGCTCACTAGTGATCTATGTTCAAACTCAAGTGTTGGCGGCAACACTTTATTCCTATATAAAAGTTTCAATAAATAATATAGACATATTATGTCTATTTATTTTCATAATAATCCTTTATAGTTCTGTAATTATCTTCTTGATGTTAAGTTGAAATTCATCAAGGAAGGCACCATATTTTTTGTTAAACCATGTAGTTTTGATCTCCTCTGGGATCATACTCAAAGACAAACTTAACATAACTGTAATCATTGTGAGGGTGATTATTGTAAACACACTGTGTTATAATTATTTTAAAGTTAACCATTGTGGTTACGATGTTTTGTAAACAAGCATTCACAATGCAAGGGAGTTAATCAGAGATGGTAAAATGTAACATGGTGTTAAATGTTAGTTAATTCAAATACTTTTTAAAACATTACTACTACATTCATAATAAATTTTGTTCAGTGTTGACTGGTTGCTTTTGATAGAGAAGGCCTTAAGAATTTGAAGTTTTTGTTTATTATTTTCATGGTGTAGTGTGTGTCTGTGTATATATATATATATATATATATATATATATATATATATATACATTTACAGTATTTATATTGTTCTGAATGTTGTTCTCATCTTTAGTGCCATATTCCTGATGTTTTGGCGTCTAGAATTATTTGATATATAAGCATTAATGTCTACCCAATAACCAGTAAAATAATACAGTAGACATTGCTACCCATAATGTAATGCCCCATTGACCAACATATATAAATAGGCAAGCCAACATACATGGCCTGATGAATGCATTCAAGCACTGAACAGACAGTCGCCACTCAGTGTTGACCTCAGCATCTACTTTTGTATTTACATACACATATCCGTTATATTGACCACTTTCACCCATAAATATAGCATACCTTAAAACAAAACAATATTTATATATATATATATATATATATATATATATATATATATATATGTGTGTGTGAATGGTTGCCTGATAAATAAAAATATAGGAGAAAATGATACTGAATACAGAATTTAGAAAAATGCAAAAACTGCATGTGTCAATGCTGGGACTATAATCCATCAAAGCAGAGAAACTTGAGAAAGGGGATGGAATATGTCTTTTTCAGTATCTGCATAAGTTGTTAATTTATTCTGACATTGAATTGACACAAAGAGTGCAGAAATTAATATGCTGAGATCGTTAGCTATTGGAAAGGTTGGAGAGAGATTATCAGTAGCTGCTATAAAGCCTGAGGATTTGGCTACTAAAGATTTCATATTTTGGGGTTGTTTTTTTCCCTTTTCCATTGCCAGAAAGAAACAAAAATAACAAGCAAAAAAAAAAAGTTGGAAGTTCACATTCTACTCCATGTATTCAGTATTTCAAGTCTTTTATTTCCGACATGAATAAGGGGCTGAAATATGTCAGGTTTGGTTTTATGTCTACAAGGTCATGACATGTATGCAAAGTTAGGCTCTGCCTAAATTTGATTGATTGATCCTTTTGAGCTATAAAAAGGCAAAGAGACAAAAGTTAAAGGCCTGATGAATTGTAATGAAAATGAGAAAATGAAATCTTTAAAAAATTCATATATATATATATATATGTATGTATGTTCAATTGAATAATATAGACATATTGTGTCTACTTATCTACTGATCCTTTCCAGTTGTTTAATTAGTTTCAAGATGAAAGTTATCATGGTAGGCATTGTAGTTTTTTTACCCAAGTACTTTCAACCTTTTCTAAGATCATCTTCACGGGTAAATTACAAGGACAAACTTCTTGTAATCATGATAAAATCTGCATTCTGTTTGGATACTGATTTTTAAAAACGTCTGTGAATGACTTTATCACAGTTACAATAAATTTGTCTTTGTAATTTACCCTAGAAGATGATCTTAGAAAATGTCAAAAGTACTTGGGTTAAAAGAACCTATGGCACTTTCCATGATTAATGTCAATGTGCAATATTATATATACTAGGTGTGTGAGCCAATTTTTCCAATTGTTAGATTAAGCTACAAACCGTTGTATCTTAGAAATGATTAAAGCTATCTTACTGGAATTCTCTGATGTTTTTATAACACTACTGGATTTTACTGAGCAATGAGAATGTATAATTGCTCTCCAAGCTTAACAGAAGAATCATGATGAAATCGATCATAAATGAAAATGACATGATCATCATTAATTAATCATAGCTAAGCATCGGAAGCTCATGAAGGATTGAAATAAAGTTCAAA